CTGATTATCTGATCAGCTTTGAGTAATTTTTAAAGCTAATTCAAAGCGTGACGTGAATAAAGCTTTTGTGTTGGTGATGCTACAGCATTGTCTTTTGTAGAACTGGAAAGCTGCCTTGGACAGTGAATTACTGGGTCTTGCTTCAGTTGCCTATGGAACAGAGGAGCCCATTTGTTTGCCCTGCTGGAGCTGCGGTCACCTCCTGCAGGAGTGGGAGGCTGTGCAGAGTCCCAAGCCCTGCGCACATTCCTGCCCATCCTGTGCGGCAGATCCATGAGTTGTGTGATGGTTTTTTTTTTTTTCCTTTCTGGCTACCAGGTGTCATATTCAACAGTTCCTTGGGACACAGACACATCAGATCAGCACCTCGAAAACTGCCACCCCATGTCACATATACAATCCGGACCAATGTCTTGTACAGCATGAGGACAGACATGATTAAAAACCCTTCCTGGAAGTTTCATCCTCAGAGTCTACCAGCGGATGGGTTCAAATATAACTACATTTTTGTCCCACTTCAAGACATGATTGAGAGAGCCATCATTGCAGTACAGACAGGGCAGGAAGCCCTGGAGCCAACCACGCAGGCACAGGCAGCTCCCTACCCATGCCACACCAGTGACTTGTGAGTACCGTGGTTAGCCAAATTTTCCTCCAGTTTCTACCTACCAGTGGAGAAATTCTCCATTTAGAAAACAGAGTAAAGAAAAAAAAAATCTTTGAGTTTCTCTACTGTTGTTGCAAAGAACAGTTTGAAAATTTCCCTTCCTGCTTATAATTTCTTAAGAATAATGACATATAAATATATATTTAATACATATTTAAATTGTTTGAATTATACATATGTAATTTGAATTATATACATACATATAATTATATGCATACATATATGTTTGAATTGTTCAGGTGAAATGCAATTTGAGCTATAGTCTATCCTGTTTTAACTGATTCTACCCACAGAATAAAAATCTTTACACAGAAAATTCCAGGAATTTCCCCAATCAGAACATGAATTAACTTTGTGCCCTGTACTATACTGAATGCATGTGGAGGGATATGTAGGCATTGTGTTAGGTAAGCAAGTAATGTAGGGATGATTTTAAATACACAGGAGAGTAAGCAAATCGTGTGTGTGTCTCCTATTTTACATATTTGTTGACTTTGATATCTGGAGATGATTTCTGGAAATAATGCCCTGTAGAAACTCAGAGGCCATTTAATGTAAATAAGTACAGTTTAAAATCAATTGGCTCCCAGTGCCACCTTTTTATACTTGAGGAAGCAGAGCAAGGTGATCCGTTCTTTGATCTAAATCCTTGAAAAATAGGTGGGGTACTTTGTACTTTTTGCTGTGGTTAAGACTTATCTGGGCACAGGGGTCTTTTCTGAGACTGATAATCCAACCAAGGACCATTCATGGAGACAACCTAGAACCCCTGCACAGATGTAGCCCATGGCAGTTCAATGTCCAAATGGGTTCCCTAGTAATGGGAACAGGGACTGTCTCTGACATGAACTGATTGGCCTGCTCCTTGATCACCTCCCCCTCAGGGGGAGGCAGCCTTACCAGGCCACAGAGGAAGACAGTGCAGCCACTCCTGATGAGACCTGATAGGGTAGGATCAAAAGGGAGGGGAGGAGGACCTCCTCTGTCAGTGGACTTGGGGAGGGTCTTGGGTAGAGAAGAGGGAGGGAGGGTAGGATTGGGAGGGGAGGAGGAAGGGAGCTACATGTGGGATACAAAGTGAATAAACTGTAATTAATAAAAAAAAAAACTAAAAAAAAAAAGAATTGAAAGAGGCCCTCTATCTTTGGCATATCGCTAGCAATCTGGGAATGCGTGGAAGTTAAATTGTGTGATTTAGCAAATAAGCTGTATATATCAGGAAGTGCTGTTTAAGGCAGAATCAGCTGGTGAGGTGACTTGGAGGAGAAGCTGGGTGGCATTGGCTAATCCCAGTAAAGAGTGCTTAACAGATAGAGCAAAGGCTCTAGTTGCTGAGGCTCAGAGACCTCAAGCATTAACTAGCACTCGTGAGTGTAGTCAGACCACAAAGGGTGCCAAAGAGGTTGAATGACACTGCCAGGAACAGCCTTGCTTTTCCCTGTGATTGATGCTGTTCTTACAAGCATCTGACCCAGGTAACAAAGGTGTGTGTGGTTTGCTCTCCTCGTACACTGCTTCTGATGAGACCCTTAGATCCTCCCTTGAGAACACAAAAGGAATTGAGTGGATGAGCAGAAGGTTATTAAAGGGATAATTGCAATGAGGCTAGTTCTGAGAACAGACCAGACACTTGTCCTTCAATGATGCTGCACTTGATGGCTGCTGTACATCTGACCTCTGGGGTCAGGCTATGTCTTCAGCTGATTGGTGGCCCCTTGGTGAGAACAAGACACTTGATTTTATGTCCCCTCCTTTCTGCATAGCGACATGCCTCATCCATTACAGCTCATCAGTACATTGTTGATGACAGTGGTATTGCGAGATGTGTTATGGTTGTGGGATGACGGATGAATAAAGCCTAAAGGCAGCGGGAGTAAGCCTGTCTTGGGACATCTTAGTGTTGTGAGAGATCAAAGGTCATGAGGACACACACACACACACACACACACACACACACAGTGAGAGAGAGAGAGAGAGAGAGAGAGAGAGAGAGAGAGAGAAGGTCCCATTTCCACCTAAGAAGTGCCACACGAGGCAAATGGTTGATAAGGCAAGTAAATTCCTTTTATTTTCCCTATAATGAAAATTTATGTATCTTTTCAAAGCAATGATAGTTTTACTCTGAACATTTTCAACATTACAAAACGCTTCTAAAGTATTTTTTTGTTGGAGGTAAGAGCTGAAACCAAGACTACTGTTGCCATTGGCTAGGTGTCATGCCTGAATGCCCCATTTAAATTCAAATGCTAAAAGAATGTAAGAAATAAGGTGAAGTTCAAAAAGCCCACATGACAGTCTCCTTCAGTTTGCAGAATGTGCTATGAACAGTGTGTATACAATTGGGGTCTGTGTGTTTGTGTCATGAACAGTGTGGGAAGACATATTCCCCCAGTCCAGTTCACAGGATAAGCGACAGGGTGACACTGCCCACCTTGACCCGAGTATTCCCCAGGAAGAGTGATGGACACACTAGCAAGTGTGTTCATGGGCAGTGGGAGGCAGCCTCAGCTTCTGCTCTTCAGCACTGTGGAAGGGCTGTGGAGGAAGCACTGAGCAAGACAGGTAAAGACAGGTCCTTTCTACCTGCCCGAGGTTAGTTCTTGAGTATGAGCAACATGGCCTCTGGAAATCTGCTGTTAGTGGATGCTTGAATGTAACTCTGATGCCATGAAGTCACTTCTCCCTACCTGTGCTCTGGGATACTGTTATGCAGTTCCTTAGAACTATTCATTTTACTTGCTTGAAACATCTAAAAAGTATTTTCTGTCTTTGAAAGACTGAAATCCTGAAGACCTCTCCTTGTGAGGCATCCTTCCTTTGCATTTACTTCTGAGATGCCTGTTGTTGGAGGCTCAGTGTGCCTGCAGTGACTGAGGCATTCTGAGATCCTTCAAGAACTCTGCCACCTGAGTAAAACTCCTAAAGCACACTTGTTCAATAGTTTTCAGTAGTTCCCTGCTGCTTAGTGAACAAGTTATAGATTCACTAATTTATTAATGTATTCAATGACATTTATGTGCTATTTGTCCATCTCTAAGTTTGGGGTGAATCAGTGAAATGAATAGGTGAAAACTCTCTGCTCTGGGGCCACCAACAATTCAGAGAAGTCTACAATGCAATAAGCGAGAACAGTGAATTGAATTTTAATGGCAATAACTGGTGTGGTGTTCAGGAGATGTGAGGTGGGAGGTCAGAAGAGTGAGCTGGTTAGCTAGTGTGGTGGAGGTGGATTATACCAGGAGGATAACGTTAGCATAGACTTGGATGGATACAGACATGTGGTGGAAGGTATATTCCTGGCCAGAGGTCAAGCTAGTTTAAAAAAACAAAACCCTTTGACAGACATGGCCTGGTGTGTGTGCAGTCAGAAGAGAAGAGAAGAATGCACCAAGTCATGATGGGAGGAGGTGAGGTCAGAGAGCTTAGCACAGCTTATCTGCAGTTGATGTGAGTGGAATGGTACTGTGGAAGCAGTGATGATGTTACCCGGCAGACGGAGAAACAGAATTATAAGCAGAGTCCTGGGCAGGGGTTCCTGGGTTTAGCCCAGATATTTCCCTCAAAGCGAGTAAGCAATTACAATGTTGAAACTCAGGGAAGGATTTAATAAAAATGTGCCTTCAGTGAAAATGAATATTGCATTCTCCTACATCCGCATCACTGGCATAAGCTTTAAGATGGAATTGAGGAAGACCGGGGCCCACCGTTGAGAGGTATGCATGATTAGTGGTATGCATCCCCTTAGGTAGTGTTGGCTAAGGGATGGTCTTGTTGATCATTATTTAAGTTCTGGTTGAGGAAGTTGCTCCAAAGAAGTCCTATTTTTAAGGAGGCACAGCAGTTCCCATGAGATGATTGCTCTTGCTAGGCAGTAGTCTTGTCCTGGCATCAATAAAGCTTTCCTTGCTACCTGGGAGATCTGCTATTCTTTAGATTTTAAGTGACTGCTGCTTAAGGATGGAGACTGGTGACTCCAGTGTGTTTTTAAGGGGGTCTGGAGTGGTGCATTGTAAAAGCTGGTTATAAGACACTCCAGTTATTCTTGTGTTTGTGCCTTCAGCCCTAAGATGGGATGAGATAGATTTGGTATCACCACTTTGTAGTCAACTACTTTGAATTCTAAAAGATTCCTACATGCAAAGTTAAGCAGCTGTCTGGCAGCAAGGTTAAGGAGTCAGATGTAAAATGAAGGCAGAGATATTTCTGCTTACTTGCAGGTGAGACTTAGGAATCAGTGTTGTTGTTTTTTTGTTGTCATTTTTTTTTTTTGCCTTTTGTTTGTTTGCAAGACAAGTGGTTTCTAAGTGCCTGTAAAAGAATTAGAACCTTGGTTTACAACCCTCAGGAGTTTTGTTATAAATGAGAAGATATAGATCAATAGAAGCAGGGGAATTAAGGCAGAAGATGGTCCATTTTATTGGTTTTTTCCATTTTAAATTTATCTATCATTATTATTTATTACAATTTATTCACTTTGTATCCTGGTTGTAGCCCCCTCCCTCAACTCCTCCAGGTTCCACCCTCCCACCTTCTCCTTTCCACGTACCCCTTCTCTAGTCCACTGACAGGACTATCTGACCCTAGGCTATCAGGTCTCATCAAGACTGTAGGAATCCTTTTTCTCTGTGGCTTAGTAAGGCCATCATGGCAGGGAAAGGTGATCAAAGAGCAGGTAACCTAGCTCATGCCAGAGACTGCCCCTGCTCTCCTTACTAGGGAACTCGCATAAAGACTGGGTTGCCCATGGGCTACATCTGAGCAGAGGATCTAGGTCCTCTCCATGCATGGTCCTTGGTTAGTTCATCAATCTCTGCAGTCAAACAAACCTTTACAATAAAAGATCTTCTGGATGTATCTCCATCCCTTATCTCAAGCTGTAGTATAGAGCAACAATAATAAAAACAGCGTGGTATTTGCATAGAAACCAACTGTTCTATCAATGGAATCGAATTGAAGAC